TACTTGTCCTGTTATGACACCCTCTCTTTGAAGCATAATAGCTACATTGACAGGATCAGAGAGAGACTGAGAGAGGAGTGGATGATGAGTGTTGAATATATCAATAGCCATAGCTTTACGTTCTATAGAATACACACACACAGTCAATACTAATACAATCAGTGATATTAACTTACTCTCTTGATCTAACTTGTCAGCTGCACCATTCTCATTCATAGATTTAAGAGCGTCTGACAGTGAGTCAAAGGTAGCTCCTCCTTTACTGTCAACATTATCAGCTCTGGACAACCATCTGGCAATGCACTCCATAAAACGATCTTCTAATTTTGAGTAGTTTTCTGCAATAGCGTCCAGTGAGTCCTTGAGTAATCCTAGTGTCAGTCCTAGTTCCTTCCATCTCCTCTGAGGGAAACCACATCTCTTCAACAGATTAAGTACATCAATAAGTTGATCTAAAATCATAATATTCAATGATACATAGATAGTTAATGAACATTACCAATAGTCAAAGAAGAAGAGAAGAGACTCGGAGAAAAGGAACAAGAACTAGTTGCCATTGATCAAAGAACAAGCTAACCGGATGCAAACTTTGCAAAGGCCCTGTTAAGGGAGGGGCTGGTATAGCTGGGCATGGCTGCCATGGCATTTTTGTTATTGTTAAGTAACCCGCAATATGGCGGCGTTGGAACAGACAGCTTTTCATACAGGGAAAAGAAAAAATTGATGATGAAAATGATGGAGTTACTAATGACAGCAAAATAACAGACGAGGTAGTTTAAATGTACCTGTACATGTATACTAGTACATAAATTTTAGTCAAATTGTAAAATACATGCATGATATGTCCTCAGTGTACCCGTACCTGTAGGGGCACCATCAAAGTTTTTGTCCTGGACCCGCCCCACATAGCCTATTGGCAGCCCTCCCTGTAACAAATGACTGTAATAGATGCTTTTTCGACAGAAATGGTTTTGAAATTATTCCCAATTTTTGTTACATTAAAAAAGTTGAAGCCGATTCTGACTAAAATTTTGAGTTATGATCATTTAAGCAAATGAACCAATTAATATTATTACATCTCATTGTTTTTATTGTATTTTAGGAGTTTAATGAGAGCTTTGCTGATAAACATTGAATTATGAAATGAACATCAAAAGTAAATATACATATGTACATGTACATGTAATCCTTTATCTCCATGTCTCTCACTATTTAGAGTGTTGATAGAAAATGTGTTTCATTTACCGGACACATTCCCAGGGACTCAAAGTATCTTGAGAATGGTATTATCATTATTATTATTATTATTATTGTTATTATTATTCATAGGCTGGGTGTGTTGTTTGTTGATGGTGGTTGTGGTCTAGAAGATGAGTCAGACTGCCTCAGTCAAGAGGTTATTTCTGCTTTTCGTTTAGTAGCTAAAGATAAAGGAGAACTGTCTGCTCTTGCTTGGGCAATCTCGGTAAATTTTTTAATTATATATATTTATTATAATTATTTATGAATTTATTAAATTTAATTAATGATGGGTGTGCTTATTATTTTATTATTAGTTACTGGAGGAGTATGAGGAGTCTGATCTTAAGATTAGAGAAAGTCTAAAGAAACAGTTTTCTGATTTGACTGTACCAGATCAATTGATTGAAAAGGAATATTTAAAGTTTATTACATTTTTAATGCATATTAATGTCCTTATGCTATGTAGAAAGTTTGAAGTGATTCAGACTTTAATTTTTTAAATTACGACCATTTTAATACAAATGCCAAAATTTTGAAAATTAACTAAAGCTATAGCCCATGGTTTTTTTCAAAAAATGGCTCCAAAATCAACCCAAATTTTTATTACATTTTTTGATGCATACATGTATTAATGTTGTTATGCTGTGTAGAAAGTTTGAGCTGATTCCGACTTCAATTTTTCATGTTACAACCATTTTAATAAAATGCCAAATTTTTGAAAATTACCCAAGGCTATAGCCCATGGTTTTTTCCATAAAATGGCTCCAAAATCACCCCAAATTTTTATTACATTTTCTGATACATATTGATGTACTTATGCTGTGTAGCATGTTTGAGCTGATTCCGACTTCAATTTTTCAAGTTATGGCCATTTCAAGAAAGTGCCAAAATTTTGAAAAATACCCAAGGCTATAGCACATGGATTTTTTTGAAAAATGGCTCCGAAATTAACCCAAATTTTTTTGCATTTTTTGATACATATTGATCTACCTATGCTACATGTTGTAGAAGTTATGAGCTGATTCTGACTTCAAGTTATGCGTTATTATTTTTATTATTATTTTTTATTGTTTAGAGATGCCATGATAAGAAGATTAGAAAGACAGCTACAGGAGAAAGAGAATGAAATAAAAATATTAAAAGAACAAAAATCAACTTATACAAAGCAACTTGAAACTAATGAGGAAAGAATTGAAGAATACAAAACAAAGTATGTACAGTATATCTGTTATATCTAGTGTTTGGACTAGTAATGGAGTGTGTAGTACAGTGCATTATAGATTACATCTACATTATACTGAATGAAGAATATTTTATTTATTTTTTAATCTTTCTCTCTCTCTCTTTCTCCCTTTTCTCTCGTAGAGTATTTTTATTAGTTAGTACACTATCAGATAAAGACATGTTAGTCAATACATTACAATCTTTACTGGAACCAGACAAGGCCCCAACCCACCAATCTCTCTCCTACTCTCGTAAAACCAGTCTTGATACTCTTAATGAAAGAGGAGGAGGAACAGGCCCCGGGGACATTGCTCTATCAGAAAGACCAGTTCCCCAGTCTACCCTACTACTACTCATGAGTCTGTATCACACAAGCAGCAGCAGGAGGAGCCATCACTACCAACTTATGATCAACACATGCTGGGAGTAATAGGACCAGTTGTACTATACAATCAACCAATCAACCAATATTAATAGAGAAGGTATGTAATGGTATATGTGTATGTTTTGACCAAATATTAATCTACTGATTATCAGAATAATTGTTGGCACCAAGCATGGTT